CTGAATTCTACTTTTCTATATTAATATTGCCAACTGTGCTTTCTTTTTGTATTTGATTGTTATAACTTTTTCTCAACACTTTTCTTTTTAAATATATTGAGCTACTTTCTTTAATAAAATATAGGCTGGTTGATTAATTGGTTGATTGATCGGGGGGGGGTGCAGTTTCAGGGAAGGGATGACCCAACTTAGAGTTGTTACTGTTTCAATAAATGAGTGGATAAAACAACTATGAGACATTTACACAATGGAATACTACTCGGCTATAAAAAAGAAGAAAATTTTACACTTTGCCAAACAATATGGATGGACCTGGAACACATTATGCTAAGTGAAATAAGCCAGTCAGAGAAAAGACAAATACCATATGATTTCGCTCACATGTGGAATCTAATGAACAAACTGAACTAACAAGGAAAATGGAAACAGACTCATAGATGGAGGACAGATGACAGCTAGTGGCGGGTGGGGGCTAGAAGGTAGAGGAATTGAGTAAAAAGGAAAAAGGACTCATGGACATGGACAACAGGGTGGTAACTGCTGGGGGAGAGGGGGCATAAGGGGGCTAAATGGTAATGGGAAAAAATATAATAAAAATTAAATTTAATTAAATTAAGATAGAGGAAACAGGCAAAAAATAATCTTTACCATTTAATGGTGTAATTTAACTCACTTATATTTTGTACATCATCTATATGTTCAGACTTCCATTATATGTATTCATTTATGATTCCTTTATATTCTATCTTTTTCTATGTGTGTATGTTTTCTTTGTCTTTATTATTTGGAATGTTCTTGTTCTACCAATGATTTTCTATCTATAGAATACTAAATATTCATCAGAATATGTCCAGTTACTAGTTTCCTTTCATTGACTTTGTCTGATACTGAGTGAGTCACTTTGATCTGCAGATTTAAGTATTCAACAGCTTTAAAAAATCAATTATCAACATTTAATTCCTGCTCACCATCCTCCATAGTCATTATGATTTTGCTCTCATCATTTTAAAGTTGTTATGTTTTCCTTTGAATTATGTGAGAGCCCCTTAAGTATGTTCTCAATATTACTAACTAGGGTTTTCACAAAGTAGATTTTGCTCTTTACTGCCTCTAATGTCATTTAAAATTCTTTTTGGCCATTTTCTTATATTATTTTCTTAATTTCTTTAAAGATTTTATTTACTTATTCTTGAGAAAGAGGAAGGGAGGGAGGAAGAAAGAAAGGGAGAGAAACAGTGATGTGAGAGATACATGGATCACTTGCCTCTCACATGCGCCCCAACCAGGATCAGCCCGCAACCCAAGCCTGTGCCCTGCCTGGGAATCGAACCAGCGACCTTTCACTTTGTGGGATGACACTCAACCAACTGAGCCACACCAGTCACGGCTATTTCCTTAATTTAACCAGCAAATTTTTCATCTAATTCTCTCGCCTTATTTTATCTTTTGTCTTCTTTCTTACAGGGTTTTTTTTCAGAAGTTTGTTGAAAATACAAAGTTACTAGATACCTAAATTTTACTTGACTTTCTATAGTAAATCCTTTTCAAAACGATTATTTCCCTACCTTTTAAATGCTAAGCTATGCTTTTTTGGTTGCAGAATCTTTTCTTTCACTGATTCTTGAGGTTCTTCTTCTTCCTCTCCGTATTTATATTTGAAAAGGAAGAAATCTATTTAGGCTTGTTATTTGTTTCCAAATTGTATGCCAATTTTTCGGGGCTACTCTCAATGGTACATATAGACTGTTAAAATAGTCTTCTCAGATTTTATGCTGAAGAGCTGGTTGTTGAGAGACATTAATCAAATAACCAGAAGCCTACGAGGAATGAGGAAGAAGCTCGGACAGGAGTCACTGCCAACAGGGAGTTTCACTTCTGCATAATTCCTTCTCCATGTCTGGTAAAGCAGGGCCAGATTTTTTTATGCCTGGTTTTCACTTTGGCCTGGCCATCATTCCAAGTGCATGATGGGACTGTCCAACTTGCTGGCTGGTGTATGGCTTCTCTCTGCTATCCTATCCAGGGGCTTTCTATGTGTGAGAGCCACATTTGAGCTTGCCCTTGGGCTCCCTGTGGCAATGATTTCAAACACTGTTGGCTCAAAACAACCAAAGCGATTCCATGTGGGAAGACCCTGACTATTCCAGGGTGCTCCTTCACCGCTGAAGATCACAGGACTCCCCCAGAATCTCCAGTCTCCTATATTCCCATATTACACTGCTTTCTCAGGAAGGGGAACTGGAATTTAACTTTCAACATCCCTATGTTTTAGTCCTAACTGCCCCATAGATTACAAAAAAAAAAAAAAAAATCAGTATGTTACCACGTTCCTGGCATCTTTCTCTAGTTTTCAGTCCTGACACAGCATTCCAGACAGGATATAGTATGAGAAAAAGAGATGAGATGCTGACGTTTAACTGTCATCTGACTCAGAAACCCTACCCAACCTGGGTCAGATTTTTACTAAGAAAAAAGGTGCCCTGGTTGGCGTAGCTCAGTGGATTGAGCACGGGCTGCGAACCAAAGTGTCACAGGTTCGATTCCCAGTCAGGGTACATGCCTAGGTTGCAGGCCATGGCCCCCAGCAACCACGCATTGATGTTTCTCTCTCTCTATCTCCCTCCCTTCCCTCTCTAAAAATAAATAAATAAAATTTTTAAAAAAAAAAAAGGTAACTCTCTTAACAGAGGGTCACCTAGCTCAAAATCCTGTTTGAACGTGAGGGTGCAGGTAAGGCTCCCTCAGAAAACTGGCTCTAGTGGTTTAATTGATTCTTCCTTGCCTTGCCAGGTGAACCTCAGTTTAAAAAATTGCTTCTTTTTTTAATTAAAAAAATTTACTAGAAGCATTCAGAATGTCGACAAAACAGCTACAACCTTTTTTGCCATTAGACTGGTATTCAGTTAACAGAACAACAATGATTTCACACAAGCTGCATCAGAGATAACTGAAGATGAAAACCACATTCTCCGTGAATAACTAATCCATGCTGCGCACCAAGAGCCTGCTTTAAACCTCCATGCCAAGGTATGGCCCCCAGACTGTGCCAGGCAAGGCTCGAGGCTCCTGAGAAGACCACCAGGTCGGGGTTATCTGAACGCACATTCATTAATGCATTGACTCTGCAAAAACAGGCATTGTACAATTTAAAAACAAATCTTACACAGCCTTAATTTCTATTATTTTCTTTAAAAGGAAAGAGGTGTACAGGGGGTTAAATGCTTTATAGACAAGAAACAACTGTAGTAGAAGCAACTTATTCATCATCTTCTTCATCTTCCTCTTCCTCCTCCTCCTCCTCCCCATCTTCCTTCTCATTCCTCTTTTTCCTGCTTATTTCAGCCTTGACGCCTGCCTCCTTTGCCGCATCAGGCTTTCCTTTGGCCTGGTCTGCAGCAACATCCTTTCCAGATTTCTCCTTCAGCGCAGCCGCCTTCCCTTCATCAGGCTGCTCGCACCTGCAGCCGTGACTCCCCATCTCTCCCAGCTGCTTCGCAGCATCACCAGCAGACAGGCCGGGGACACAGTCCTTTGATTTTTGGACGGTACTCAGAACAAAACAAGAAGGCCGAAGGAGGACTCGTGGGTGCACCGGATCCTTGAACTGCTCTCTTGTTTCCCCTTCAGGATGGATATTAGTCTTCATTCCTCTTTCATAACGGGCCTTGTCCGCCTTAGCCATACATTCTGACTTCCCTGTCGGCAGACATGCTGCTCCCTCTCTCTGAGGACTTCTCAGGAAACTCTGAGGAGCCGACTAAAGCATCTGGGTGCTTCTTCTCGTGCTCCTCTCGGCGAGTTTGCACAGAGAAAGTGTGTGATCACATTTTGCCTCTCAGCATCTGAAGATCTCCTCAGCCTATGTTTAATCAGTCTTCTTCCTGCCACCTGGCCACAGGAGTCTTGGGACAAGAGGCAAGGGAAGAGGTGGCACATGCCCGGGGCCACCACGGTGCCCTCCGCCCCTCGTTCTGCAGAACTTGCCAAAGGTGAAGCTCTGCCCAACATGGGGGCTGGCTCCTCCTACAGCCGCCAGCCCAGAACTAAATCTCTTCCTTTTTTAATAAAAAGTAAACCAAGACCAAATGGGTGCAACCAACTTCTTGGTACCACCCTACCTCTCCCATAGCAGCGCTGTGTCCCTCTCTCCTCCCATAGTTATCTTAAAATTTGGGCAGGAAAAAAATGTTATGTTCCTTTCCAAATACCTTCAAGAACTTCCAATTCAATTCAACCGGTAGGGACTGGGAGCTGGAGCGGGTCACGGCACTCTGCTCAGCGCCAGCACTTGGCCTTGACACTGGCTGTCCTGGCTTGTCCGCAAGCCCACTAGGGACAGGCAGAAATAAGACACAGACTCTGTGCTCCCTTAGCATCCCATGCACGGCACCAAAATAATGCCTGTGACACATACTGAAATCCTGTTTTCCTCTCCCACTAGACCGTAAGCCTATACAGAAGAGGGACCACGGCTCAGCCATCACTGCGGCCCAAGAACCTATCACAGTTCCTGGCACAAAGAGGTTCTACAAGACAAGTGAGTCGAACCAAACAGAGGCCAGTTCCAGCTCCTGCCCATGAGGATGTCATCATCCAGAGAGGTCTCCGCCTTAGCTGTAAATCGGTGCACCTGTTGTGACCATCATTCCTTCATGGGAAACACAGATGCTTTGGGATTTATATTTCCCATCTGGACACACGCCATCGGCAGTGTTCTGGCAAACTCTCTCCCAGGATGATCTGGCATTAGGTCTCTGCATAATGAGCCATCCCTATTTTTTTCTTCCCTTCTTCCTTACCACCAGAGACAGGCAGGTGAGGGTGCACTCTAGGACCGTGAGACCTGCATCAGCCAGCTGGCATAAACACCCGTCCCCCTGCCCGGCAACTCCAACACTGCCCAGTCTGCTCCCCCCAGCACTCCCAAACAGGACTGGTCAGACTGGTGTTTCTGGGTGTCGGCCATGAGGGGTGTGGCCTCCACAGCGCAGCAGCCCCACCTGAGAATAATCCGAAGGTACTCAATGCCCTCCGCCTCCTCACACTTGATGGACAGGAGCAAGTTCCCCAAACTGCTGCCGGTACAGTAAAAGTTTAGATGATCCTGGAAACAGAAATCAGGTGTTAGCAGGAAGGAGGGGGACCTTCCAGGGACAATCCCCCCAAATCACCCCCTTCACCAGGAGTGAGAAGCCCACAGCACACAGGAAGAGAAGGATGCCACAGTGGTGGCTGCTACAGATGAGGAGGGAGAGGCGGAAGAAGGGAGAGAGGAGGACCCCCACCCCCAAGTCCATGGGCCGTCCGTGCCAGGCACTGGGCTACAGGCCCGTTACCCACTGTCCCCTTTAACCCAGACCAGAACTTTATGGGGGAGAGAGCACCCCACCCCCGCTTCGCAGGTGGAGGGAACATGTTCAGGGAGGCTGAGTGACTATCCAGGGTCGCACTACTGGTAGGTGACAGACCCAGGATTCAAACCCACACCCGTCTTGACTGAAGCTCAAGTTCCTCACACAATGAACTGAGTCCACTTCCACGCTCCCAGGGAGCAGCCTGACAATTCAGACTCTAGGAGTGAGAATAAAACTAGGAGTCTGGGCGCCTCCACCACGTGGAGCAGGGAGATCTCTGGACAGTGGGTCTCCCCCTGACTCAGGGGGCCCACCCAGCCCTGCTGTATCAGGCTGGGGCCCTGGAGTCTGCATTTTAACAAGGCAAGGGGCAGCGGGGGGACTGAGGGGGACAAGGCGGGCCCCGCTCCATCTCCTTCCTGTGAGACCCAGCAAAGCTGACTTAGGATGGAGACTTCCAGAACCTGCCCTCGGGACTTCTGGAACCTGGCAAGTCTGAAGGGCAGAATATATATGAAGAAATGTAACTGTCGCTGCTAAGCAATTGGAGGCTCACAACACATCACCCAGTACAAGCACCAGGGGACCGGCCTGAATGCGGGCACAAGAGATTTGTACTGTTTAGATGGAAACGGACACTTCGAGGTGTGAGAACATATTTTTTCCTTCCACCCTCCTTCACCCCCCAAACACCACCCATTCCATCTCCTCGGAGGACATTTGCTGGGGGCGGTCCCCTCAAGGGCCCATCACACTGTGTCTTCCAGACGTCTGCACACCCGGGAGCAGGGCCGGTCAGGCCTCCCCAGGGTGGACAGAGACCGGCAGCACGGAAAGGGTACAGAGAGGGGCAGGTGACACTGGAGAGGGACACTGGACTCCCCACACAGACCCCCTCTGGCTGTCGTTCTCGCCCGGGGCGCCGCGGCCTCACCTGCCCCAGGAAGTGCCTGCGGTAGGCCCTGGCTTCGCTCTTGCACTCGAGCTTGTAGCCGAAGGTGCTGGGGCTGAGGCTGTCCTCGTCCTCCTCCTCGCACACACTGCTGCCCAGGGAGGTCGGCGTGCCCACGTTCTCTGGGTCCTCAATCCAGTAGCCCCCGAACTGGGGCAGGACAACCAGGGGGTATGGGCCTCCCTTCCCCACAATCTGGAGGCAAAGGGAGAGTCTGGCACTGCAGCCTGCCCTCGGTCTGCAGCAGCAGAGGAGGGGCCCCAGAGGTGGGGTGCCCCCACCTCTGAACCTCTCCATGGAGGGGACCCCCACAAATGAGGCCCAAGGCAATCCCGTGAACCCCTCCTGTGAGCCCCACAACAGCTCCAACCTCAGCAACCCCAATGTGCACCCGGGGAAAAGGCTGACGTCGCCCAGGGGCAAGGCCTCAGGCCTCAGCTCCCAGGCCCCAGGCTCTCTCCCCCATGGGGCGGGGCAGGGACCCCATCATCACCATCAGCTCCCCCAACCCTGCCCCAGAGACAGGATCGGAGGGCTCCTACCTCATCGATGCTGGGGTACGGGATATAGTCATCCTACAAGACAAACAGACATGTCGCCGTTAGTCCCGCAGTGCCCAGCAAGTGTGACCACTGTTCCCATCCGCGCCCCAGGTCCGGGGAGCAGGTGTGCTGGGGTCTGGCAGGCTGCGCTAGGGCTTTGGGAGCAGCAGCAGGAAGAACACCAGACGGATGAACAGCCCAGAGGCAGCTCCGGGCTCGGGTCTCTCATGAGTTTGTCCCCAAACTGGCAGACCTGAGTGCGAAGCAGCCGACGGAAGATGCGGTACACAGAGGAAGGAAGATGCAGTACACAGAGGTGCTGAACTTCACCCCCTGCTGACCTTCCTAGTTTCTCCCCCTAGGAGGCTCCCACACGGAGCTGGCCCTGGCACCGGCCCCCCCCAGCACCCACTCCAGGCGAGGGGGCTGACCTCCAAGCGACACACTGCGCCCCTGGGCCTCAGACATGGAACCTGAAGCTGAGAGCTGATGCTGCTGGGGCCTGGAGCAGGAGCCTGGGCCCTAAATGCCGTGTGTGGTTCGCTCACAGGAGCGGAGTGGAGGAGCCAGCCCTTCGGCCTCCCCCAGGCCTCCACCCTGGCCTGCTCTGAAGCTGCGCACAGCGCCCTAGTCAACAAAGCTGCAGCCACTTAAGTGGCTCTTGGTGAAAATGGGAGTTAGATGGTGTAAGACAGGGACCCCAGCATGCTGGCCACTCCCCCGCCTTCTTCTCAAACGGCCCCCTCTCCGGGCCCACCTGGCTGCCGCCTCACCCACCCAGCCCACCTTGTTCTTCGGGGGTCCTGGCTTCTGCTCTTCGAGCTTGATCCCCTGCAGAAACAAGGAAAAGAGGATCCATAGAAAAGCAAGGGCCACAGAACAGAGGCCAAACAGACAGAGTTCCTTAGAAGCACATGCCTTAGCTGGGGGTTAGTAACAATAACAGCAAGGGCTGCAGGCACTGGGCCCTTACACATCACACACCTTGTCACTCTCAGACCTCACAGCGGCCCAGGTGAGGCAGCAGGGCAGTGGGGTGAGAGCATGGACTCAGCCAAACCATCAGGGTTCAAATCCCAACACTGTCACTTGGGACCGTATGACCCTGGGCAAGTCACAAAACCCCTCTGTGGCTCAGTGTTCCCATCTGTAAAATGGGAACAATAACAGCACCTACTATAGTGGTGAAGGTTCGATGTGGATGACATGTTAAGTAAGCCCCTGGAAGAGTGACTGGTATATAGTAAAAACTGTGACTTACTACTGTCACCAGGTCGGCAGTGTTCTCATCGTGGTGCTGAAATAGCTCACCCAGACTCTCAGAGGGTGAGGCGAGGGGCAGAATGGGAACCACGTCTGTGGGGGTCAGAGCCAGCACTCCGGACCTCAGGCCACGCCAGCTCCAGCCCCACCCCCAGTGGGAGGTGCCACAGACAGCAGGCTGGTAGCCTGGGCCTGGGCCTCATTCTGCCACTGTCCTGCTATTAGTGACTCTAGAAAGTGTCGAGCCTTTCGCGGCCTTCCAGCTTCATTGTGAAATGAGGGCTCCAACACCCGTCCTCCCACCTGCCAGAGGTGTGGCTGCGAGGGCCGTACTCCATGCGGAGCCTGGACCAAACAGGCTCCCACAGGCATCGGGAGGACTCGGTGCTGGGGAGCAGGGCCTCAGCCTGCAGTCCCGAGGTCAAGCTCTGACTTAACTGGGTTTTGTGGGTGGAGAGGACACGGTGTCCCACAATTGTGTGTTAATTTATAAATCCCACAGGGGTATGAGATGGTGGGACAACTGGGAGAAACAGGTCCCCTCTGGGGAGGAGGGGGTCCGGGAGCAGCCGCTGCCTAATCATATAACACAGGGGCCTTGAACCTGCCACGGCACACCCCTCTGTCGTCTCCTTTGAAGCCCTCAGCACCTCTCCACGAATGAGAAAACTGAGACCCAGGAGGAATTTGCTCGCCTAATGTCACACAGCTAGCAAATGGCAGAGCCTGGCTCTGAAACTGGGCCACCTGTCCCCCAAGTACATGACCAAATCCTGCAGCCCAAGGAGCAGGGCTCCTGCTCCCTGGGCAGACCTAGACCTCGGCTTCTCGGGACTTCTCTGGGCTGAGTCACCCCGCAGCACTGGTCAGGTGGGCATGGGAGGGCCCCTCCCACTGGATCCCACTGGACAGGTGCTCCCCTCCCCACAGGGAGAAAGCCACCTGGGTGGGCCAGCAGACTCTGTCCAGGCAGGCAAACTGGGTGGATGGGGAAGGGGGTGATGTCAGAAGTTTGTTTTGTTTGTCCTGCATTAGTCATTCCAGCCTGGGAACAGCCCCTGGGCAGGAAAACAAACGGCCTCCTGTCCCCACCCCTCCCCCATGCCAGGGCCACGGCCAGACACTGGGCCCTCTCCCCTACTCCGTCTGGCACCCTTTGCAACAGGCATTGTCATCATCTCTCCTCCCCACTCCCCATGAAGAAACTGAGGCTCAGAGAGGCAGAAGGACTTCACCAAGGTCACTCAGCTAGAGAGTGTCAGGGTCAGAACCCAGAAGGGAAGGGTAACCTTGGCCTCTGTTGCTTCACAAAGACTGTGCCCTTCTTCAAATTCCTAGACTCTAGGACTGGGGTCAGGAGCCCCGCGCCTCAGCTTCAGCTCCTCACAGCACCAGCTCTGGTCCGGGGACGAGCACTTCATTAACCCCAGTTTCTGGCCGCTCACTGTCAAGGCGCATGCCATGCCCATCTCCGCAACCTGGCTGTAAGGTCCCTGAGCACCTATAGATACACGTGAAGTTAGTCTGTAGTCCATACTCTACTGGGCACAGAGGAGGATCTTAGTGACTTGCTCACGATAATGACACAACCACTAATATCTTCCCTCAAACAGTCCCTCCCCTTCTGCATCCTTAGAGAGAACTGCCTTTCCAGCGAGGACCTCGCTCACAGCAGCAGCCCCCAGGAGCTCCACCTGCATCTCAGGACGGCAGCGGGCGCCCTACCTGCCTCACTTCCTAGAGCTTCCAGGCCATTCCTGTAGAAAGCATCTTCCTTCTTTGAGCCTGGAGCACCTACTTCGGGCAAAAGGCATGATATAATGACTAAGCCTTTCTGGCTCTGAGGTTACTCACTAGCCATGAGCCCTTGAGTATTTAATAGCTCCATGCCTCAGTTTCCTCACCTGTGAAATGGGGAAGATGATGACAACAACAACAATGTACCTACTTCCTGGGAGCCTTGTCAAGAAGAAACGAGATAACACCTGTCAATCTCTGACCCTAGACAAGTGCTTAACGTACATGTGCTATTACAGGTGTGTTCTTCCCACTCTTCTACCTGTATCAGTGAACCCTTCTGGTCCTCTCCCCTTACCCCCTAGGGCATCGCCACATCTTACCTGTGAGCCCTGACCCCTTAGTGATGAGAAATTATGAAGGCCCCCAAATCCACACTGAACACTGATTTCTAAGCAATGCCTGCCAAGTATTTACACATATTATCATCTCACTTCATCCCAGCAACAAGTGGGTACTGTTATTCTTGTTTGTTTATAGAAGCTAGATACTGAGATTTCTTCAAAGAAACATATCCTGGTCTTCATCCCGCTCCTGGCACAGACCCCCTGAAGCCCTGGGAATTCCCTGAGCGGTAAGAGCCAGGAGCGCATTCGGCAGCACTTCTGTTACAATGTTTGGCCTTTTGTCCTTCCTTCCTGCAACAGCCCCTGTGCCCTAAAGGTGAACAGAGAGTTATTCACGAGTTTGTGTTAATGAGGTGACTTTGGGGACCTTCCTAAGGATGGGAGCAGGGGAACCAACCACAACTAAAGGGCTGGAACTCCCAGTCCCACCCACCCCCAACCTCCGGGAGGGGAGAGAAGCCGGAGGCTGAATCAGTCAGTCGGTCGTGCCTAAGTAAGGAGGCCTCCATAAAGCCCAAAAGGATGGGGCTCAAGAGCTTCTGGGTTGGTGGGCACGCGGAGACTTGGGGAGAGTGGTGCCCTCAGAGGACTGAGCCCTGAGCCCTCCCCGCACCCTGCCCTCCGCATCTCTCCCAGCTGTCTGTTCCCGAGTTATGTCCCTTTATAACAAACCAGTAATCTAGTAAGAAAACTGCTTCCCTGAGTTTTCTGAGCCACTCTAGCAAACTAACTGAAACAGAGAAGGGGGGTCGTGGGAACCTCCAATCTATAGCCAGTGGGTCAGAAGCACAGGTGACAACCTGGACGTGCGACCGGCATCTGGCAGGGGGGGGGGAGCAGCCTGTGGGCAGAGCCCTCACCCTGTGGGACCGGACACTAACTCCAGGTCGAAGGTGTCCTCGGAGCTGAGGGGAATGGCAGGACACCCAGCTGGTGCCTCGGAACTGTTCTGTGGGGTGGGGGGAAACAGCCACTCGTTTGGTGTCAGAGTGAGGGGAGACTAGTGTTGTGAGCAGACAAAACGCAGGGGCGAGAGGCTGGGAGAGGGCAAGGAATTTGGCAAGCTGGTGTTAGATGCAGGATCTGAACTCAGGTCTGCCTCCCAGACACAAGAAGTCTCCCAAGGAGGGGCTTTTTTCCAGGCTTTCTTCCCGACCCATTCTAGGAATGTCCCTCAAACCCTCCCCACATCCGTGGGGCTCACAGCATCGGTCTGCTCTGCTGGTGGTTCTGCAGTTTCTCTTCTCCCAGTTCTTCGGGCAGGAGCCGCCCCAGGCCCCTCGGTGCCACTCAGCACGGAAATGGGCACTGCGAGTCCTCTCTCCTCTGCCCCTCCCTCCAAGGTCCCCGTGATCTGCTCCTGGGTTCAGCTGGGGCGGGGCGGGGGGGGGTGCCCTCCCCACCCCAGGGTTCGGCTTCCCCACTTTGGGGATGCTCACCTGCATTTTCTCCAGCATCTCGAAGAACTCCGCCGACTGAAAGACACAAAAGGACGAGAAAAACGGGGCGTCAACCCGGAGGTCTGCTGAGAAGGCCACCTCCCCGACGGTCTGCAAGCTTACTTAACCTGGGTTTCCCCAGAGACAAAACGTACTGGGACCAAGAGAGAAGGTCACTGATTTCACCCTCACAGAGCTGGAAGGCCAGAACACCCCACACGGCAAAAGGAAAAATAAGACACACCGGGCTGAGGAAGGACCCCACGCAGAGCAGCGCTCCTCGGGGGCAGGAGGGAGGACCCTGTGGGGCCTCTGAAAATCCAAGCTCCCCAGAACGCCTGTCAGTCGGCCTCCAGCAGGCTGGTGTTTGGGATGTTTTCAACCCAACAGGGGGCCGAGAGGCCCACCCCCGGTGCTGTTTGCCAACAGAGCCCTCCATCTCCTCACACAAAATCTCACTCAGATCTCTAATCTGTAGGAACTGTTGGGAACCGCCCTGACTGGTATTAGAAGCTGAGACCCCCGCCTAGGCTAAAGCTAAGGGAACGCCCTTGGAACCGTGAGCCAGCAAGGAGACAAAGGCTTATCTCCCTGGCAGTAATGCTGTTTCTGCTGCTGAACCCCCAAAAAGCTTGGTCGGTTAGCCAAAGACGGGTAAGATTCCCCACAGGGGGAACAACCCAAGCCAGGCACGATCACTTTGGGAGGCCCCCCCAAAAGAAGGACTTGGGGGGCTGCAGCAAAAGGGGGTGATGGACCCTCACTCCTCGGCTTTGACAAAGTCTGAGTTCTCAGCGTCCGGAAGAAAATCTCCTTATCTCTCGGTGGCTTTAGTTCCCGTGCTCCACCTAAGCCTGAAACAATGACGGGGAAGTACAGCTCGGTACTGGGAAGTGCGGATTTCCCGGGGTGATCAGGCCTAAGAAAGAACATGTAAATTACTGTGAAACCTTCTTTGTCCAAGAATGCTCTTAGTTGAATGAGGAGGGTCTTAGGAGGAAGCTAGTTTGTTCCTCAGCCTTACAGCTCTTTGACCCCCAACTCAATAGACCGGCAGAGTTCTTTGTTTTATATATTCCTTAGTTCCCCTAATGAGTATTGTACGTTACCTGAGTTATTATGTAGCATGAGCCCAATAAAAGCAGGTATGGACTGTAAATCGGCGCGCTCCTCACTAGAAGGGGTGGCCATTTCGTCCCTACTTCTCCACAGAAACTAGTTTGTCTCTGTGCATGTGTGTTTTTTCTCGCGTGTTTATCGTCGAGCCATCCACAGTGTGCCGTGGTCACTGCTAGCCGGTGACCCACGCGCAACAGGAACAGTGAGCCCTGGCAGAGGGGCTCGGTTGGCTGGCGCGTCATTCTGCACACCAAAGGGCTGCAGGTCCGGCCCCTGGTCCCTGGTCGGGAAGCACGCAGGAGGCAGCCAGTCCCTACTTCTCCCTCACAGCGCTGCTGTTTCTCTCTCCCCCTCCCCCTCCCTCTGAAGTCAATGGAAGCATGTCCCTGGGGAGGATGGACAGAGAAATGGATAAAATGAAAGCAGCGCCACTCTGGCCAGGGCAGCGGCGGGGGCTGGAGCCCTGCACACGCCGACTCCGCCTGCCCCTGTCGGGTGCTGCGTCCGTGAAGTCAAGTCTGAAGCCATTGAGCAGCAGCCTCCCAGGGCCTGGACAGGTTACTTTAAAAATCCAAAACTACATAAATCCAAATCTTTAACCTACTTTGGTGCCACCTTTATAAACTCCAGGGAAGACAAAAAGGGGGTAAAGGCAGTGGAATGAAGGGGTGAGGGGCTGAAAGCTCCATGGCTCCCTCCGGAGTTTCCCTGCTTCCCGCTCTGGGTGGCAGCCATGCCTTCACTGCCCACAGCTGGGCCCTGGTGAGCTGTGAGTGAGTGTGTGCCCAGAACACACAGTCCCCAGAAAAACAGGAAAGAAGAGAAAGCAGTGATAAGGAGGACCAAGTATGTCCTTGTCACTTCCTCATGCAGAGGGAGAGCATCCAAATGCCTTCCTCTGCGGACACCAATGGCAGAGCTACCTAGAGCCCCCACTGCCCTCAGAATTCTCAGAAGAGAACCTCCGTGATAGGGACCCTTAGGGCAAGACCCAGCCCTGCTGCCACTCCACGCAACCTCTCCCGGGCTGATGCTGACCCACCAGCAGGTCAGGTCCCAGGGTCGGAACCCCCACATGTACAGGACTGACAAGCGAGGGGCACCCACATGAAGCGTCCTTGACCAGAATCAGTCACGGAACACCCAGCTCCCAAACATGTCCTTCCCACAGGCTCTGGCCATGCCTACCAACTCCAGTCTCCAAGTGACCAAGCTTCCTAGGCATAAAGAGTCTACATAAATCAGTAAGGACAGAAAGATGAGTGGAAAGAGGATAAGGGGCAGAAACATCAACATTTTAAATACACAGACCTCTGCCTCAGCAATTCCACTTCTGGGAATCTATGCTATAAACACAGTTACACATGTACGCAAAGATAGGTACAATAACATGTTCTCTGCAGCATTGTCTGTAACAGCAAAAAATAGAAACAATTTAAATGTCAATCTGCAGGAAACTGGTTAGAATAAAATACAAATACCATGAGCCACTATGTGTCAATAAATTAGGTAATTTAACTGAATTGGACAATTCTCAGCAATACACAAAACTACCAAACTGACTCAGGGAGAAATAGAAAATCTAAAAAGATGTACAATAAAAAAAGAGAGAGACTGAGTGAGTAAAAAGAGAGAGACTGAGTGAGTAATCAAAAAAGTGACCCACACCTGGCTGGCATAGCTCAGTGGATTGAGCGCGGGCTGCGAACCAAAGTGTTGCAGGTTCGATTCCCAGTCAGGGTACATGCCTGGGTTGCCGGCCATGGTCCCCAGCAACCACACATTGATGTTTCTCTCTCTATCTCTTTCTCCCTCCCTTCCCTCTGTAAAAATAAATAAATAAATCTTTAAAAATAAAGTGAGTTTGTAAATATAAAAAAAGGAATCAGAATTATTTTTTTAAAAAAGTGACCCACAAAGAGAAGCCCAGTCCCGATGGTTTCAGTTGTGAATTCTACCATTTAAAGAGTTAATACTAATTCCTCACAAACTTTCCCCAAAGTAGAAGAGAAAATGCCTCCCAACTTATTCTATGATGCCAGTTTACTTGGACACCAAATCCATCACAAGAAAAGAAACCTACAGACCTAGATAGCTTGTGAATATAGATGCAAAACTTCTCAACAAAATACTAGCAAATGGAATCCAGCAACATATAAAAAACAATTATACATCATGACCAGCTGGGATTTATCCCAGTAATGCAAGGTTGGTTTAACAAACAAAAGTCAATGAATGTAATATACCACAGAATAGAATAAAAATAAAAATCACATTATCATTTCAACAGACAGAGAGAAAGCATTTGACAAAATCCAAAACCCTTCTTTGATTAAAAAAAAAATAACACTCAACAAACTAGGAATAAAAGGGAAGTTTCACAACATGATAAAGTACACCTACAAAAACTGCACAGCTAACATCTTACTTAATAATGAAAGACTGAATACTATGTCCATATAGTAAGGAACCAGACAAGGATATCCACTCACTCCACTTTTATTTAACATTGCACTTGATGTTCTGAGCAGAGCAGTCAGGCAAGAAAACTATATGAAAAGCATCCCAAATTGGAAAGGAAAAGGTGAAACTATAACAGTGGAAAATCGTAACAGGGAACTGTAACCCACCCACCTCTCTTTTGACATTGTTTCTGTCCATGCAGACTCTGACTAATATGTACCTTGTAGATAATCAGCATGTTTGTGTAGGAATCCTAGGAACTAACTTGAAAAGATACAGATTCCGACCTTCAGGCATCCCAACCCTGGGAGCTTTGCTGACCTTCAACCGTGCAGTCAGGGTGACGTAGAGCCACAGTGACGTGAAGCCAGGGTGACGTGAAGCTGGGATGACTAAGCCAGGATGACGCATAGCAGGCCATCATCGCCTGCCTTATCGGAATGGACTGGGCTAGTGAGCACATAGAGAACTTTTCAACCCCCTCCCTTCATCTTTGTGCTGTTCCCCTCTTCCTCTTTATAAAAGCCTCTGCCTCCACTGAGAGGTGGAGGTGGGTTTTGAGATGTGACTCCCGCATCTTCCAGGTGGTCAGCACCTGAAAATAAACCACTTTCCATCAACACCTGCCTCCCAAGTATCAGCTTTCATAGCAACGGGCAGTCGGGACCTGCTTTTGGTTACAAAACTATTTCTATTTACAAATGACATGGTCTTGTATATAGAAAAATCCTAAGGAATTCACTAAAAAAACCATTTAGGATCAATATCAATGAGTTGGGCAAGGTTGTGTGATGCAATAATCAACTGCATTCTTATACACCGTTAGTGAACAATCCAATTACAATTGTAATAGCATCAAAGAGAATAAACACATGGGTGTAAATTTAACAAAAGAAGTGTAAAACTTGTACTCTGCAAAGTACAGAACATGGATGACAGAAATTAATTAACCAGGTTCTAAATAAATGGAATAAACGCCATGACCACAATTAGAGAGTCAGCAGATTAAGGTGGTGCGTTCTCCACCAGACCTACAGAGTCAGCACAGCCTCTGGCACGACCCCAGTCAGGCCCTTCCCGGAAAGAGAAAAGCTCATCCTAACATTGATATTGAAACTCCCGGGGCCCAGAATACCCAACCATTCTTGAACAGGAAGAACAAACGTGGAGTGCTCACACTTGCCAATTCCGAAGCGTACTACAAGGCAAAATTAATCAAGGTAGTGTGATACATAAGAACAGACATACAGATCAATGGAATAGTAGTTAGAGTCCAGAAATAAATCCATATATGTGTGACAATCAATTTTCAACAAGGGTGACAAGACTGTTCAAAGGGGTCTTTTCAATAAATTGTGCTGCGAAAACTGGATAGTCACATACATCACATACAAAAAGTGAATATGTTAAGAGGTAAAATTATAAAACCTCTTAGAAGAAAACATAGGAGTAGA